CCGTTTGATCTGATTGTTGAGGTTAGATTCTTGATCTACTTTTGTTATTCTTTATGTTGATCCGATCACATTGCATGATCTAGCATGATTCATGAGCCATGCATTGATTTAAAGTTGTTTTAGAAAGAGAAAATGATGTTCATGTGTTCTTGAAGAAAACCCATGTTTTGATCTGAAAGTTTGTATCAAGATCCATGTTTTTGTGTTTGTTTTCTTAAGATCTTCAAGTATGGGTACCAAGGTCCATATTTTTGAACTCATAGCATGAAATCTCAAATTTTGAATAAAGAAGTTATGATTTAGCATTCATGTTCTTTATGTTCTTCATGTTCATGTTCTTCATGTGCTTCAAGGAAAGAAATCCAGATTTCCAGACTTCACCTTTCCCTAGGTGTGGTCACCGAGACCACTCTTGCCCAGATCTCACACTTAGGCCAAGCATCGTATCTCACCTTGGCCTACCTCGCATGATCACTTGCACCATTAGTCTATCTTGCACGAACACCTCGGCAGACAGCCGTTTGCCGAAGCCTTGGTAACCACACCTCGGCCAAGAGGTGTGGGACCTCAGCAAAGACCTGGTTGGTACCCAGCATGTTTTTCCCGAGATGAAAAACAGTGTTTTAACTTCCAGCATGTTTTGCTTTGACTTGACCTAGTCTTGAAGGAAATGCCGGGATCATTTGCATTCATGTAAGGCTTGTCTTGAGAGTGCATTTCATGTCCATCTTTGAGCATTCTTTCTTGTCTTCTTGAAGTGCATTCAGTAGACTTTGCCATGTGTTTGTAGGACTTGGACCCTTGCTTTAACCCCGACGTTTAAAGAGCTATATGAGTGGTATTTTTAATAAAGTTATGTTATAAAGTTTTGATAAAGCCTTGATTCGTTTTGGAAAAGTATTTGATCAAGCATGAATGATTGTCCCTAGTTTTGTATCTTGTATTATGTTCATTTTGATGACATTCTGGGAAAGTCCTTAGTGACTATAATGTAACTGCACCCTTGTTTTGGAAGTCCTTAGTGCCAGGGGACTATAATGCAACTGCACCCTTGTTTTGCCACTGACGGTTTTCCACGTGGGTTTGTTTGTCCGGAATGTCATCCTTTGGTATTATGTAGATGTTATTAACATCCAAGAAGCTTTGAAAGATTTGATAGACAAACTTGGTTCATCCCTTTGATTTGTAAAGTTATGATATGTTTTGTTTTGGAAAAGATCACAGATATTATTCATTCAAACCTTTATTACTTATACCATTCACTGAGTATCCAAGCTCACCCTCTCCTTATATATATGTAGGTGACGAGCAAGAAGGTGGTGACGCCTAGATGATTAATTGCAAGATGTTTTGGATTCCTATTTGTAGCATCTTGAAGATTATGCTTCTTGGCTTTGTAATTCATTTCTTTTTTATATGTCGGCTTAAGAAGCCTTTTGATCAAGATGTAACATGTACTTTATTTTATTTGTATTCAAGTTGTAAATCATGTTAAGATGTATGTCATTTCATTTGATCTATGCATAGCTCTTATGGACTAATTAGATTGAAATTTATTGCTTCCGCACATGTAAGCCCTATATGTATACTCTGATTGTGTGTGAATCTTTGTAAGTTGGCCTTTGGTAATCTCGGATTACTGGCCATCACGGCACCATTCTACTAGGGGCGGAATGGGGTCGTGACAATATATGAACATTAAAGTGTTTTAATCTTTTTATATTTAACAAATTAAATTAATAATAAATATATGCATATAAAAGTTAATGATTTAATATAATTACGACGATGATATAAAAGTCAAGTCAGAAAAGAAAATGGTGCTCCCTCTTCATTTCTTATTAAAAATGTGAAAATTTCATATGAACTAGAGCAGAGGAGGTAAGGATGAAACAAGACAAGATAAGTTGAGACGGGGCATGGAATTGCCATCCTTACTTTTGGCCTTCATCTTTTTTTCTTTTTTATGGAAAATTTAGCTAAAAATCCCTCATTGAAATTGTCACTTGTGAAAAAAATAGAGAATATTTTATTAGTTTATAAACCCTACTAAATACTAGACTGTCCTTCACGCAGGACAAAAAAATTTGAAAGTACATTTTTTTGGACACTTTTATCCTGCATTATATTGTAGCATTGATGTGATTCAAAGCACCTTTTACATCTCTCTCTCTCTCTCTCTCTCTCTCTCTCTCTTTTACACACAGCTCTCTCTCATAAATCTTTATCATGTCAGCTGATTAACTATCATCACCTCCACCATCTCCATTGTCGACTAGTGTTGCTCATCTTCATACACACAAAGGAACTCAAAATCACCATTTTCATCCTCTTTGTAGCTCTTCGTTTCTTTATATTCTTCTTTGTCTCCTGATTGTTCCTAATCTACGTCATTGAATTCCTATTCATTTGTGAAACTAAAAACATCATCGAATTCAGACTCTGATTCAACCCTGAATTATTCGATAACTCTAGCAGCAATATCAACAAGTAGAAGAATAACTATTGAAGCTTGAAAAGAGCGATAGTATTGAACTCGACTACATGTGGAGGTGTGCATATCAAATACCTCTAACTCTCTTTGTTTTTATAGAGTAAAATCCCATGCAACTGTGTTTTGGGTTCCGATATTTGTTTGTTTGTTTATGTGTGTGTGTGTGTGTGTGTGTGTGAGAGAGAGAGAGAGAGAGAGGATTGGGTTTGGTTGAAAGGACCGAAAGTGTTCTTGAATTATTGTTGATTTGAATTGTTATTGATTTGTTTCTGAATTTGTAGTGAAAGAACTCATAAAACTTCATCCAGTTCATATTTTATATTTTTGTCATTGATACCCTATTCAAGAAAACAATAAAGGATTACTTTAGCAGACAGTAACATATTGCTATGAAACATAGTAACACTACAACAAAACTAACCATTTACGGCATCATGTTTACGGCATGCATTAAATGCATGTCGTAGTTAGTACATTCTACGGAATTTTTTTTTTGCAAGCCGTTAATGTTTTATTAATAACAGCATACATACCATGTAAGTCATTAATTCGTATATTTATGGCATGCAAAAATATGCCGTAAAAAATGTATGTTTTTACGACTTACAAAAATATGTCGTAAAGTATTTGAACTTAAGAAGACATACATTTCATGTTGTAAAATATTATAACTTTACACGGCATACATTAAAATGCCGTGAAAACTTCTGCAAAAAAAAAAATCAATCCGAATTTTTTTATGGCATGCAAAAGCATGCCGTAAAAAATGTATATTTTCACGCCATACAAAAATATGTCATAAAATATTTGTACTTAAGATGACATACATCTCATATCGTAAAATATTATAATTTTACACGGCATGCATTAGCATGTCGTGAAAACTTTTATTAAAAAAATTTCAATCCGATTTTTTTTTTTAATTTAAAAAAGCTAACAATTTCCAACCAAGCTTCTCACCTTAAATTTTCCTAATTGAGGACAATATAAAAATAATTTATACATTATTTTATAATTTAATGTCTCTTTTAAGGGATAATTGCACCCAGTGGGATTTTGAAAAAAAAAATTACACATTAATTATTATCTTGGTGAACCTAATCGTCTTGTGACTTGTAAAAAATACAGCTCACCATTGTGCTTTAGTAGTCTGGAATAGTAGATAGGTTTCTTCACTTCATGCTTTGTAAATTTTCAAATTTATGTTTTTACAATTACTTAACATTTTTTTTTACTTCGATTTGTTTTATGAATCTGGATTAGATCTTATATTTTTGACCTGTGGATGGATTGTCTTGTGCTTATCAATAGGAAATGTGTCTCCTATAATTTCTCGTAATGTTTTAATTTATATTGTTAGGTTGAACCATCTGCCCAAGGGAAAAAATTCCCATTTTTGGTTCACAAACATTGTGTTTAGATTTTGTATTTAGCTTTTGTTCACAAACAGAAATCAAAGTTCAGAGGTGGCTGATATTGATATTTGTTTTGCTCTGCAATGACTCAGGTTTATTGTTGTTGATTTAACAGTTGAATCTTGAAATTGTCAACTAGCAAGATGATTGGAGAGATACTTTATTTCTCATTTAAAATAAAATTGAATTTATAACCAATTGTTGTCCACATTATTTCTTGTTTTTCCTTATGTATTGCACAGAGTTCAAAAAAAGCTGAGAAAAGAATTAGAAAAGAGGGTGAAGCTATAATTGCTGCAACAATGGATGAAAGAAGAAATGCATCATTCAGAATTTTAGATGAGTGTTCTACTTCTCCACATGTTGAATCACATGATATGGAAGGAGTTGTAGACTCCACTCAAGTACCAAAGAAGAAATCTAGGGGGGCATCAAAGTTAAAGATGCATGACAAAGGAAAACAAAAGTGTGATGAAATTGACTTCAATGAAAGGAATCAGCCTGTAGGACCTGAGTCAGTTAAACTATCAACTTTAGAAGGGATCTTGGCACGAGAGATGGTGCCAATAACCATAGAGAGATGGCCTGATATTCCAGAAGAGGTTAAAGACAAGCTATAGGCTTGTGTGAAGGTAACATATATTTATTTAATTCATTATTATACTATCAACTTAAGTGTTTTTCCTAATCACTAAATTTTTGTTTAAATGCAAATGCAGCTTAGGTTCAAAATACATGATTGCCATAGGAAACACATCATGCAAAAGTTTGGTAGATTATGGCGCTCACACAAATCTGAACTATCACGAAAAATAAGACCTCTTGGTAAAAGTGCTAAGCTAGCACACAATATTGTCCTCACCAAACCTGATAATGTAGAAATGGTCGAATGGAAAGCATTTGTGAAACAACGAACTTCCAAAGAATTTAAGGTAAGTTTCCTCATAGAAATTCTCTCGTTTTTATGAACTAATTAGACCAACAAATTTTCTCATCGTGATTCAATTATGAATTATTAATTATATAAATTATGACATTCTTCTTTTGTATATGTAGGCAAAGAGTAAAAGATTTAGGGCAATGACAAAAAAACAAACCCTCCTTCACACCATGAGTCGTAAAGGTTATGCACGATTAGAGGATGAAATGGTAAATTTAAGAGTAATTCAAGTAATTTTGTAAATTGGGTATGAAGTATGGTTACTTTGAGATTGTTTTAATCATGTTGATTTTCATTTTCTATTTTATTTTCTAGAGAAGAGAAAGTCGAGCACCATCATCCATATCAAGAGTTGATGTTTGGATTAAAGGTCATACGAGGAAGGAAGGAAAATCCATCAATGAAGTGCTTGATGCAACTGTGGTACCAATATTACTTCTTTTTTTTTTTTTGTATTATAATTTGCATTCACATCAATTTATTAAGACATGCTTTATATTTTCAGAAAAAGGTTCAAGAACTTCATAAGGGTCCAAAATCTATAAAAAGATGATGATTTTTCATACTTTTGGTCATGAGCGTCGTGGGAGTGTACGAGGGCTGGGATTTGGGGCATTACCATCTAAGGTTGATGCACAAGTACACCAAAACAAGCACGTGAGAAAACTTAAAAGCAAGGTGCTGGACTTAGAACAATAACTCGATGAGATAAGAGCCATGCCTATCAAAGAAAGAAGGCAAAATGATGTAAGAGGAAAAGCTAAACATGATAATATAATGTCATGGCACATAATTTGTTTGTCTTTAATTTGTTATTTTATATTTAAATCACTTGCATGTTTATCTTTGATTGTAGGGTACCAATCCCTCCCAAAGAAGCTCCAATCTACTCTAATCTACTCCTCATAACAACCTTCCAACTTCAGTGAGTGAAAATAGTATTTTCAAAACATTTTTATCTACTTTTCATGTCTTTAATTGTTGGAATTATGTGGTAGCTATATTCTTAATGATGTGTTTTTATGGTTTTTTAGGTGAATGAAGTTGGTTCTATTACTGAAAGCATTGAAGCTATGAAATTATCTAAACGTGGTGGTTCTTTAATTGCAAACCTTCCAACTGGTTTAGATATGGTAAGGTATGATGTTTTTAGAAGTGCCTTTTTTTTCTTTCTTCAAAGTCCATTTTGTAGTTTACTACTGGTCTTGTAGTAATGAAATTATAAACTGCATTGTTGATTTGCTGGAGATTGAGCTTCAAACTAACTAGGCACTGCTGCATATTCTCCACTCATTAGAATAACCAAGTTTTGTGGTCTGGCAGATTTACTAATTTCAAAGCATGACAACTTTTCGTTTTTTCTTCTTTTTTTTTGGTCAACATAAAGCATGTTGACTTGATATGGCGTTTTCATTGGATTTAGCTCACTGTTTCTCTCGTGGTACTGAAAATAATTGTCAATTGACATAATTCTTGGTTGATAGAGTTCTTTTAGGGTTTTGTTGATATTTGTGGGGTTTACTATTGGAACTAGCATATAGGCAAAATCTGTAGTCGGAATTTCATCAAGGCAAATGTCAGGAGTACCAGTAGAGAAAAACAAAAGTATTATAATAGTTTCATGTAAATATGAGGTGTTTGATTCTCAAAACACTTAAAAGAAATGAAAAGTGATGTGTTGAATACAATCCAAAGATATACTCGGTCCTCTATTTCTTGCAGGTGCTCCCAGTACTACCACAAGCTGACGGTCTTAAGCACGGTGAGTTACCATTCTGTTAAAGTCTTGCGCATATTAACAGGAAAGCAAGTCTCATCTGCTCTACCCTGAAGGGCTTTAGAAGCTATATGGCCCTTGAGGGAGAGGGGATATGAAATGCGTTTGTTATTCTTTTCTTGATTCGCTCTCAAATGCCTCTTTACCTCCTTAACCTAGACATGGTAGATAATAGGATTGTGTGACATGTAGATTTTAGATAAAGGTTGGATAACAGAATAAGTTCCAAATAGTCTCAAATCAGGTTTCTTTGTAGTAATCTATCTTTTGTTCTGAAACGAAAATGATGTAACTGTTGATTATTAATGTAGAAGCCCATTCTCTTGCAATTTTCCAGTTTCCACTCATGCCAATCAATTTCTGACTATAGTATTGTGAATTAAATCTACTCATGGCAAGTTCTTATTAGACTAGTTAAGACTCAGTCACTCTTTACACCACCTGAACTGTGTTGATTAAACCACCCCTATCCCTCATTTTGAATTCATCAACATTACTTTCAGCTAACTCTCACCCAATATTCTTTCCCCTAAACCCTTCCTTGCCAAATTCTAGTTTGTCACCTTCACGATCAAAGCCATCAGCTCACCCACATAACATTCTGTCTCCATCCTCGTGGTGGGAAATTAACTAATTCAAAACTTGTGAATGTGTAAATGAGTTATTTCAAAATTTGTGCGAGTGTTGTCGTGTCGAACAAAAGAGATTTTGAATATCTCAATTTTATATTTAAGTAATTCTACGTTTTAAAGAAATGAACTAATTTAAATTCTCATAAAGAAAGTAAATTAATCAATTTTTTAGTTGTCATCTTTACAGTGCAACACATGTACTTATCTAATTTGTTAATGAGCCAATCCTAAAGTGATCCAATTCATATTTTTTCAAACATTAAAATGTGTCTTAATTATACCTCGGATGGTAATGTTTATGTAGTGGTTGAATAGCCTTTGTATGCCCTAAGATCCTTTTTTTGAGCCTTGTCATATTTTTAGGGCTAAAATGTGGTCTAGCAGTAACAGTTTAGCTCTAAGCCAACACTTGATGATAGTGATTTTCTGCCCACTTTTTGTTTCTTGGCAAAATTTACCTTCCGCTTGGATTGTGGGGTTAGAAGAAAAAGAAAAAGAAATGATTGTAAAAGAAAAGAAAAGAAATTATCGTGTTTTCTCACTATCATGTTTGGATGACTAAAAGAGCAAAATGTGATATAGGGATATGGGTGATGTTTCTTTTCTTTTAGTGCATTTTAATGAACAATCTCGGTATTATAGAAGATACACAAGCAATCAGAGCTTGTTTCTTGCCAAATCTCACTACTTTTGGTGAGAAATGAAACTTATAAAATAAAATTAAAGTTCTCTTTCTTTTCATTTCTCACTGTTTCCAACTTATTAGAGATCCACTTGAATTAGAATGTCCATTTAGTTTTTATAAATTCATCAGGTTGAGTAGACTCATAAGTGTGACCACCTCAAAATATGTATTCATCAGGTTGAAATTTTCTTTTCTGACATTGATGACATATGTAAGTGAGTTCTCGTTGAAGCTTTTTGACACTTTCATTTCCTTTATTGAACTAATACTTCGTAAATGGGATAAATGTTATGCAGTATGCTTATATACTCTTAATTTTTGTAGGATCAAAGTAATGGTGTGTCGAGCTTAGCAAATGTCAAATGCAAGTTGTTGCATTGGGAGGGGTCAAACTTGGTGGTTGCAGAAGGCCAAATTGCATCAAGGGATCCCAAGTCAAAGGTGCATCATGCAATTCTTGGACTTTTGTGTTGGAAAGTATGGGTGAACCACGTAACATTCAACGTGCCGTTGTTTCGTTCTACTCATGAGATATATGATCTTCAAGATGCAATAGGAAGTACAGTTGCATGGCCTAGTCAATTCATTCTTTTGGACAAAATATTGGGCTAATTGATTTACGATTTGTAGTTATACTTTTTGGATGTTTAAAGTCGTATTTTAGAGATTAGTGAATCTTATGATTTAGATACTTTTTTTGATTTGTATGTTTGAGGTTGTTATCAGCTTGATATGATAGAAGTTGAGGATAAAAGTTAGTATGCAGTTTGTTTGGTGTATGGATATTAGATTTTTTTGCTTACTTAATAGTTGCTACTTCTGCTTGGTTTGTAACAGGTTGCATTTTATAAGCTATTGTCTACATACGGTTAGGTAAGGTCATGTTCCTATATATATATATATTTTATTAAAAATAACTTTCTACGGCATGCAAAATTATGCCGTGAAAAGTGTAATGATTTATGGCATGTAAGAAAATGTTGTAGAAGATTATATACGGCATACAAGGCATGTCATAAATATATTAAAAATGACCTTCTACAGCATACAAAATTATGTCGTGAAAAGTGTGATGATTTATGACATGCAAGAAAATGTCGTAAAATACAATGTACGGCATACAAAGTATGCCATAAATATATTAAAAATAATCTTCTACGGCATGCAAAATTATGTCATGGAAAGTATGATGATTTATGACATGATAAAAATGTCGTAAAAAGTTATATACGACATACAAAGTATGTCATTAATGTTTGATTTATTACTTTTTACAACTTTACCTGCATGCCGTAAATGATGCTCAACTTTTCACGGCATGTCATATAACGGCATTTGTGTGCATGTCGTGAAAGAGTTTTTACAACATGCATCGAAAGCCGTAAAAATTCAATTTTATTGTAGTGTAAAATGTTACAATCAAATAAAGTAAAATATTATTATTTATGTCAATTTCAACAGTAATTTTTTTTCTAAGAATTTCATTCTCAACTTAGATCTTATTTGATAGATCTTAATGAGAGAATTCTAAAAATATTATTAAAAACCAATATCTAGATCAAAAGTAATATAATTTTAAAGTTTAAAATATTAAATTAGTCATATTTTGGTAATGGTGGTATGTATTGAACTTTTTAAGAATTTTTTTTTTAGTTGATTAATGAAAAGCTTTATCAAAAGCTAGTTAAGTCATGGTTTTGAGTTTATGTTTTCATTAAAAGAAAAGAAACTTTCATTATAATTCACTTAGTCATTATTTTGGCATTCAGCTAAAAATCTAATATTTTTGTAATTTTATTTTTTATCTTTAGTGATTTTTTTTTAATAAAAACTTGTGTCAATTTTTTTCAAATACTTTTTTAGTCCATCTAATATAGAAAGATCTTAAAAAAATTCACTAAAATCAAACAAAGTTAAAAAAACACTTTTTTTAGTGAATTTTTTTCAATTTTTAGTGAATTTTTTATTTTCAAATTTTTAATGATTTTTTATTTTCAATTTTTTTGATCGGTTAGTTGAATAGAACTTATAAATGTACTTTTTTAATTTTAAAAAAATAATTAAAAAAATTGCTAAAAATCCAATCCCAAACACCCACTTATTATTACATAAATAACTTCGGTTAATGTTTGGTAACTCATCACCAAAAATGATTTTCGTAATCTAAAATGTTGGTTTATTTGGAAATTGTTAAATGATTTTTGTAATCTACAATGTGATTTTTTTTGGTAATTATTCTTGTAATCTACAATGTGATTCATTAAATAAGCACATTATTAACGGTGGGTTTCGAATGAGACAAATTATTTAATATTTTTTTAATTTGAAAAAAATTATTTATTATTTTAAACAAGTTTAGGTGATATTTTAAATTATATGAGTTGAGAGGGTAATTTATATGTAAATTGGGCCGAGCTGGGCAATGGGCTGTTCTTTGGGCTGTAATGAAGAGGCTAGAGAGATGGGCCATGGTCAAGTGTTAGCTCGGTCCAAAGTAAGGCTCTTGCAGCCAGACTAAGTAAAAAGGCTTGGTAATTAGTCTGGTCCTAAAAAGAGCAACGGATAGTTCGGTCACCACGATTAGAAGAAGTTAGTTCGGTCACGCCATTCGGAGCTGAGATACAGCGACTTCGCACGGTAAGCCTAGCTTTGGTCAGCTCGGTCCAAGCTTGCTACGGTTGGCTCGGTCTTAATAGGTAAAACCGGGGTACAAGCTGTGAAGAGAGAGCCGAGCTAACTAGAGTTCGGTCGTTTTGGCCCGTTTAGCATGGCTTTGTTATCCCGATCATTTTGCCGTACTACCGGTTTGAAACCATCTCACTTTGTTTAAGTAGTGAGGGGGGTGTTGAAGGATAAGCATTATCTTTCAGGAATATGAATCCTAAGAGGACTCTACATGGAAGAGTAAAAGTCCTACTAGGATTATGCCACACGAAACCTACAAAAGCTCACAAACATCACCTATGGAGAGGTAACACATAACTTTGACTCCCGAATTCACAGAGCTTTTTGTTTGTTTGTCTATTTTGCTGACTTAGGCATCGGAGAGGTATCCGGCACACACCCGCCGGCTAGCTCACGTTTGTATTTTCAGGGAGTAAAGCGACGACGTACGGAGGAGCGCAGACTTGATCAACAGGATTATACGGGAAGAATATTTCGTACCCGTACATGAGTCATCACTTTGTATTAGAATTTTAGGAAACAAGGTTTATAATGTCAATGAGTAAATGAAATGGTGCATTACTCAAAAAAATATTGAACAATTTCTATTGCATTGAGCAGATTAAAATGAATTGGTATTTTAAAATATAATTTTGTTAATGTGTGCTATTAAGAAACATGTTAAGAAATTTAAAATGATTGTAAATTTCATATGAAAGTGAGTACAATAAAATAAATGTAGGATAAATTATAAATACACCGTTTGAGATTTGCTTAAAATATGAATTATTCATTGTGGTTTGGAAAATTACAAATACTTTCTTATTATATTTTTTTTATTTAACAGAAAATAATTGAAAAAAAATGAAAATTTTAACTGTTCTCATATACAATCATAAATTATTAATTAAAATACATTTAAGACATCATTAAAAACTGTTAATTGATTTAATGATTTATTAATAAAAGATTATTTATTATAAAATTAGAAATTTTAAGGGATATGATGTAATTCTCAGAATTACAGAAGATAAATCGTATTTAGAACAAACCTCAGAAGGTATAGTTGTAATTTACCCAAAAATGTATAATCATTTCAAGCCGGTTTACCATATATTTTAAGAACATATGTTACTAATACCCTTTACAATAAGATCAATGTTTGTAATGAGAGAAATTTAAAATGGGATTTATGTTTGGGCGGATTTGAAAGAATAATAAACCCTTTTAAAATTATTCTAAAAATGCATGTATTTTAACAGAATTGTATTTACTTAAATCAACTACAATATTTTTTTTTCAAATCAATCCAGTAGGCAATGCTTGATCCACAATTTATTTATTTTATTATTATTTTTTGTGTCCAACCATTTATCAAAATTGCAATAAAAAACTACTCACAAAAATATAAGTAAAATGTGAAAATTTATTTTCTTCAAATTTCTTTTCCTATATCTAAATTTAATTTTCAAAGCTAATGTGACTAGTTCTTTTAGCTAGAACTTGCTTTTTATTAGGAGGTAAAGGGATTCAAAATTTTCCATCTATAGGTCTTGTTACCTGCCATGTATTGATTGAAATTTATTCTTCCATTTTGATTTTTTTAAATATTATTTATGTGTTATATTTTATTTTTGTTATTAAAAATGTAATTAATTATCTTCTATACTATATATAAAACAAACACTAAAGTTGATGTTTATGTCACAAATTTTTTCTTTCAAAAATATCAATAAGAATCCTTATAACAATAGTTATATCATTATTCAGTTATATTCTAAATTTCCGTCAATGGGGAAAAAAAAGTTTGGAGACAAAAAATGGTGCTTTCCTCAAATTCAAACAAATCAAACGAGTCATTATCAACTAACAATCAGTGTGTGAAGAGAAATGGTTTTTATGGAGGAGCTATGCTAAACTTGGTGCAAATGAAACTTCTTAATCTAAGGAGTGTGCTTGACCCACAACATAAATATGGGCGTGTTCATTCATTATTTTGGAGGCCCAAATCCACTGTTGTAGATCTTGGAGTTTCTATTGGAAAAAATAAGGTTATGCAAGTATCCTATGAGCCAAGTTCACTTTTCTCTCTTAGGCCAACAGGAATAGTGGAAGGGGTTGACGTTGTTAAAAAGCCTTCTAAACTGATAGTGAGTAGAAATTCCGTCAAGTTTGATGAATCTTCTAAGAGGCATGAGGTGGAGGTGTTCATAAGGCCTTATATCCCAACAATGCGAGTCAAAGGAATAAAGAAAGGAAAAAGAAGTTTTTGAAAGCATCATTGGTGCTTCCAAAATTCAAGAGATAGGGTATTGGTTTGAGGTGATTGTTTGTTATGAGGGTTCAAATTAAAAGGGGGTTTTGTTTGGTATGAGGTGTTGTTAGATTGTTAAGAGCAGTGTTTTGGGTGTTGAGGGTGCTTTTTATTTCTTTTGTTTTTTGTTTGTTCGGTTGGTTTCTCTCCAGCCATGGTGTAATGCTAGTAGATGATTGGCTTGCTTTCTGGTCTCAACCTAGTTAGAATCGTCTAGTTTGCTATTGCTTTGGCACTAGCCTCCCTTTATTGATGTTCATCTTTGTATTCTGTACATTTGATTTTCATCAATAAATTTTCTTTTGCTGATCCAAAAAAAATTCTAAATTTGATTTTTTTTCCTTTTAACTTTTGATCTTTTCAAATTCATAAAATATTTCAAGAACATACATTTTATAAACTTATTTCACTAAAAGAAAACAATCTCATGCAAATCATTTTTAGTATAAAAATAAAAAGAAATGCTTCATTCCCAAATAATACACTCCAAAGTCTCCATTGAATGACATGGTTGAGCTCACATGAAATTATGCCCACGCGATGGATAATAAAAGGACATTGAGAGCTCTACCCAAACTCTATCTCTTTCTTTTCTCAAACTGTTCTCTCTCTCTCTCTCTCTCTCTCTCTCTCTCTTCTCTCGTGATGACAACATTACCAATCATTACAACGACGAGATTTGACCACTGACCACCTCAAAGATCTAATCACCCGGGAGAGAAAGAGTTTACCTAAGAGTCATTGCGAAGAGAAAGTCATCATAGAGAGAGAGTAAGAAAGAG